CCCCCGCTCTCGCGCTCCCACCCCCCGCGACTGCGGAGAATGAGCCCCTCGGGCCGCGGATCGCAGCCGGAGAGCCCACCCCGGTGATTCCGGGCTGAGCTCTGCGCCGCCAGCATGTCGGTGGCCTTCGCGTCCGCCCGGCCGAGAGGCAAAGGGGAGGTCACGCAGCAAACCATCCAGAAGGTGGGCTGAGGGCCGCAGCGGCGGGGGTGCGGGGGAGCGCGCGCGGGGCCGGGGCGCGGGCAGCCTGCGGGCGCGGGGCGCGGGGCGCGAACAAAGCCAGGGAGCAGCCGGGCGGCCGCCAGTCGCGACTGCGGCCCCGCACCGGCCCAGCGCCCACCCACCCCGGCCTTGCCCGGGGGCGCTCCCTGGCGAGCCTGCGCTAGCTCTTTCGGGAGCACCGGGCGCCCTCCGGCAGGGGCGCGCGGGCCGGGAACATTCCTCTGCCGGCCCGGGCGCACTGGGGATCCGCCGTCTCTCCGAGACCGGGCGCGGGGCGAGGCCGGGCGCGCTCCGCTGCCGGCCTTCACGGCGAAGGCGGCGGCGCAGCGGAGCGGGCGGACGCTCACCGCCTGCGCGCACCGCTGCGAGTGAAGAGCGGGCGCAGAGACGGCGGGAACTGGGGCCCGGGAGCCGCGCAGCGTCCGCAGCTCTAGTAAGGTGCTGAGGCTCGGGGGGCACAAAGAGGCTGCCCGGGCTGCGGGAGTGCCACCCAGCAGCCCGCAGCTCTTAACGGAGCTGGCGGTACGCGGGGCGACCTGCTAGTCACTGCGTTGCCCGCCCTTTTTTCGCGGGTCAAATCGGTGTCCGGTGAGACACCTTGGCCAGCATCCTCGCCTAACAAACTTTAGACGCTCTATGGCAGCCTTTGTAGTGTGGCCTAACATGGGTTTGAGGACCTCTTTAAGCAAAGACTTAAGTTTTGAAAGTGAGACTTTACACTTTGTACAGGTTTTCTTTAGAAGATAAATTCAGGTCAGTGGTAGCAGTTCCTGTTTGAATCTTCTTGACTTATTTGGTCATACATTGATTTCTTCTCTAAACTCTGATTTTTTCTTCATCCTGGTGGGACCCCAGGGATCAATCGAAGTATTTTTATTTCCCTAAGAGGCTTCACCTGGATAACCCTTATTTCTTCATAACGTGCCTGGCTCTTGTGGAAGTTGTCCTGAGTCTGTCACCAACTTTAAGACTTCTCTTGCTGTTGCTGGTTTTAGAAATTTTAACTTTTCTTTTCTTTTCTTTTCTTTTTTCTCTAAGACAGAATCTTACTTTGTCACCTGGATAGAGTGCTGTGGTATCATAGCTCATAGCAGCCTCAAACTCTTGGGCTCAAGCGATCATCTTGCCTCAGCCTCCCAAGTAGCTGGGACTACAGGTGCCCACCACAATGCCTGGCTGTTTTTTAGAGACAGGGTCTCACTCTTGCTCAGGCTGGTCTCAAACTCCTTAGCTCAAGCAGTGTTCCTGCCTCGGCCTCCCAGAGTGTTAAGATTACAAGCATGAGCCACTGCGCCCTGCCTCTGAAATTTTAACTTTTTCAGACCGTCTTGCTCTGTTACCCAGCCTGGAGAGCAGTAGTGTTTTCATAGCTAACAGCAGCTTCACACTCCTGAGATCAAGGGATCTTCCTGCCTCAGTCTCCCAGATAGCTGTAACTACAGGCACCTACCAGGATGCCTGGCTAATTTTTCTATTTTTAGTAGAAATGGGGTCTCATTCTTGCTCAGGCTCGTCTTAAACTCCTGAGCTCAAGCAGTCCTCCTGCCTCAGCTGCCAGTGTGCTGTGATCATCGGTCTGAGCCACTGTAATTTACCTGAAATTTAATGGTTTTAGCAAGTGAGCTTTGGGCAACCCACAGGAAAGAGATTATTTGAGAAGCAAAATCAATAAGATTTAAAAGTGTTGGCTCGGCGCCTATAGCTCAGCTGGCTAAGGCGCCAGCCACGTACACCTAAGGTGGCGGGTTCGAATCCCCAGCCCGGACCCGCCAAACAACA